GTGGACACAGTACTCAAGGTCGGCTACCTCTGCCACGTTGTCCCTGCAGCTCTCACCCTGGGGACATGAGCTCCCCAGGCTGGGGAGCCCCCACCTCATCTGGTACCCTTGGGGCAGGAGGACCAGCTGTGAACTCCTCACCCACCCACCCACCCACCTGGGCGCCGTGGCTCTGAGGAGTGCACGGAGCAGCAAGAATTAAGCAGCAAAGCCTCCTTTTTGCCCGGGCGCTCTGGCTGCCAGCTCTGGTTTTCTCTTTAGGCAGCTGATCCGCAGCCAAATTCCCATCTGTCGGACACGTTAGCGCCCGAGCCGGAGATGCGCGGGGACAGACCCTCCCCTTCCCCAGCCCGGGGAGGCGGAGGAGGAGAGGGGGGGGGAACAACCCCACAAAAACAAGCAAGCCCCCGAGTCTGGGAAGCACGCCGAGGCCGGCTGGTTGCAGTTAGGATAACGAGAAACATCTGGAGCCCACGGTGGGAACAGCTGGGAGCGGGGTGCCAGGGCGGCCGGCAGGGCCGCCGCGCGCTTGGCAGCGGGACAGCAGGGATGGCTCCCAGCCCTCCCCGAGCCATGGGGCTACCAGCGCCCAACAGGACACCCTGGAGCCAGGCAGCAGGGATGCATCCCCTCCAAACCCTGGCAGGAGGGTGAGGGGGCTCTGCCATTCCCCCCCCAGCTCAGCCCTGCAGCATTTTGGCTCCTGCCATCCCCTGCCAGGAGCAAACCGCTCCGGCAGCTTCGCAGGCAGATTCCTGCGGTGAGCACAGAGCTCTGCTCTTGGGGGCCGGGGAGGCAAGAGGTGGAAAAGGGGGCTTTTTTATTTGCACTTTTTTTTGTTGTTATTCCTCTGCTAACGAGGGGCAGGCGACGCCGGGCTGGAACATCTGCCGGCAGTGCCGGTGCTGCCAGGCATGCCAGCGGTCGGCGAATCCCGCCGGAGCCGGGTGACAGTGCAGAGTCAGCACAAAATTAAAAGGCAAATAAAAAAAAAAAAAAAAGAGACAAAAAAAAAAAAGGGGGATTTTTAATGAATCACAAATGGTTACCAGCTGGGCCAAACCCCTCGCTTTATTGCCAACAGCCCCGGCCTTGTGTGACTCCACACGTGCAAGGAGCTGGATGTGCAGGGGGGTACGTGTGCCCAGGGGGATGCGGGCAGCCCCACAGGCAGCTGCCAGCCCAGACACCAAAGCCACCCCCCCCAGTCCCCCTTTTCCAGCGATGCCAACACTAACCCTGACGTCCCTGTGGTGCCCGGACAGGGGGAACCCACCTTGAGGAAGGGGATCTACCTCTGCCACGTTGTCCCTGCAGCTCTCACCCTGGGGACATGAGCTCCCCAGGCTGGGGAGCCCCCACCTCATCTGGTACCCTTGGGGCAGGAGGACCAGCTGTGAACTCCTCACCCACCCACCCACCCACCTGGGCGCCATGGCTCTGAGGAGTGCACGGAGCAGCAAGAATTAAGCAGCAAAGCCTCCTTTTTGCCCGGGCGCTCTGGCTGCCAGCTCTGGTTTTCTCTTTAGGCAGCTGATCCGCAGCCAAATTCCCATCTGTCGGACACGTTAGCGCCCGAGCCGGAGATGCGCGGGGACAGACCCTCCCCTTCCCCAGCCCGGGGAGGCGGAGGAGGAGAGGGGGGGGGAACAACCCCACAAAAACAAGCAAGCCCCCGAGTCTGGGAAGCACGCCGAGGCCGGCTGGTTGCAGTTAGGATAACGAGAAACATCTGGAGCCCACGGTGGGAACAGCTGGGAGCGGGGTGCCAGGGCGGCCGGCAGGGCCGCCGCGCGCTTGGCAGCGGGACAGCAGGGATGGCTCCCAGCCCTCCCCGAGCCATGGGGCTACCAGCGCCCAACAGGACACCCTGGAGCCAGGCAGCAGGGATGCATCCCCTCCAAACCCTGGCAGGAGGGTGAGGGGGCTCTGCCATTCCCCCCCCAGCTCAGCCCTGCAGCATTTTGGCTCCTGCCATCCCCTGCCAGGAGCAAACCGCTCCGGCAGCTTCGCAGGCAGATTCCTGCGGTGAGCACAGAGCTCTGCTCTTGGGGGCCGGGGAGGCAAGAGGTGGAAAAGGGGGCTTTTTTATTTGCACTTTTTTTTGTTGTTATTCCTCTGCTAACGAGGGGCAGGCGACGCCGGGCTGGAACATCTGCCGGCAGTGCCGGTGCTGCCAGGCATGCCAGCGGTCGGCGAATCCCGCCGGAGCCGGGTGACAGTGCAGAGTCAGCACAAAATTAAAAGGCAAATACAAAAAAAAAAAAAAAGAATGCCCAGGGGGATGCGGGCAGCCCCACAGGCAGCTGCCAGCCCAGACACCAAAGCCCCCCCCCCCAGTCCCCCTTTTCCAGCGATGCCAACACTAACCCTGACGTCCCTGTGGTGCCCGGACAGGGGGAACCCACCTTGAGGAAGGGGATGACGAAGGGTCGCAGCGGGAAGTTGGTGGCCTCCTGGAGCTTGGCGTGAAACTCCTCGATGGTGAGCGTGGAATTCTGTGGGGACAGCCCGGGCTCAGTGCCTCTGGCCATGGCCCCCCACCCTCCCCTGCTCCCCACCCCCCTCCCAGAAATTGCTGTTTCTTCGCCATTTCTGCTCCTCTGCCAGCTCTGTCACGTGCAAGGGAAAACCATGCTTGAGGGAAAACCATGCCCAAAGCTTCGCTGGTGATGCTAGCGGTGGGGACCCAACTCTGTACCTTGCCCACCCAGGGTGCTGAGCAGACCCTGGCAGATGTTGGAAAAACAGCCCCCATTTTTCCATGATTTAGGTGGATCCAGCACCAACGAGACCCTCTTTTTTACCCCCTCTAGCAGCATCTCCACCCCAAAAAGGAAAACACAGGATCCCTGGACAGACCATCACCCCACCTGGCACCCAGCAGACGTACCACGAGCCCCAGGACGAGGGTGCGCACCCGCTCCCCGATCTCGGGGGAGATGTCATTGCCAAACTGCTGCAGTGTGGTGAGGAAGCGCTTGAGCTTGGAGAGCTGGCGGGCACCGCAGGCCGGGGGGAGCTGGTGGGTGGAGAGGGAGGCGGTGGAGGAGGTGGCCGGCCCGTTGCTGAACCCGTTGGGGGTGGATGGAGCCCCATTGATGGCGGTGGGTGAGTGGCTGCTCCCGTTCATCACTGCAAGGAGAGAGGGAATGGGAGGTCAGAGTGGGTGGCTGTGCCCTGGCACCACGGGGACAAAGCTGGGCTGGAGGGTTGGGGGGATGGGAGCATCCTGCTGGGCATCGTGGGGCTGGCATTCCCCCTGGGAGGCTTCAGGATGCTGCTGCATCCCTGCGGTTGCATCCTGGACCAGTCCCCGGCCCTGCAGGAGGCAGAGGTGGGCTAAGGGGAGGGATGGGATGCAGTGCATGCCCCAGCACAGCGAGGGCCTGATCCTGCTCTTCGATGTTCAAGGCAGCCAAGAGAAGGGGCTCCATCCTGCCTCTCTGGGAGCTGCTCAGCAGCCCCCTGGGAGAAGCTACGAGCCATTTCCCACATAGCCCAGCCTGGCTTGCAGCACACTGGTGTCTCCTGCCCTGCTGCCCAGAGCAACCTCATGCCAGCAGATTTAGGGGGGCCCACCTTGGGGTGCCACCCTACAATGGGGCCAGCCCCTCGCTCCCGTGCCAGCCCTCTGCACACACCATGCCAGCGCGGGGACCTTTCTGATCCAGCAGGGGTGACAGCACGTTGTCACCCCACCTCCTGACCGCGCTCCGCTCCGCGGCACCCGGGCATGCACCGCACCGCACCGCGCCTCTCCCCGCGGGGCACCGGGCTCCTGGGATGGCACTAACCTTGCTCTGCCTGCCCTGCCTGCTGCGGCGGGCTCCCGCTCGCTCTACGGCCGGCCCGTACCAGCCGCCCGCTAAAGAGGTGCCGAAAATAACCCGGCGGCCACAACTGCTTTTATTCCCCTGACAGGTGCGTTACTAAGTTAGACGCCGCACATGTCCCTCGGCCGGGCTGGGGACGGGGGTTCGCATCCCCGTGACCCGCCGGGGTAGGGAGAGGGGGCTGGCGAGGGGGAGCACACCCTGCCCGAGCCCCCCCACCTTCCCTCTCTGTTCCCCACCACCACCATGGCACCGTGTCCCCCCCCACCACGGGATCCTGCACCTCCTCGGGGGGGCCTGCAGCTGCGGCTCGGGTCTCTCATGAGAGCGGATGTTTCATTTTACTTACAAAGACAGACCATCGACCATTTCAAGCAACCATGAAAACGGCCGCGAGGCAGAAACGTCGGAGGGCCAGCGTCTCGATCTGCAAGCAAAATAAAACACGCTATGATGAGAGAGCAGAGGGGGCAGCTCTCGGCCCGGGGGGGGGTCCCTGCAGGCAGTGCTCCTGCACAGCGGGCCATGGGCAAAGCCACCCAAACCAGGGATGGAGCTGGGTCCCTGCATCCCGACGCAGCCGGAGGGAGGGTTCAAGGGATGCTCGGCTGCCTAACACGGTCCCCACCTTTCAGGACCAGCCCTCCACAGCCCCGCTGCAGGGGGTGGTTTGCCACATTTCCCCGAGACCAAGAACAACCAAAACACCATCACACCGTGGGATGAGCCGCAGCACCCCCGGCCCCGCGTCCTGCACCGAGCCGAGCCCTGGGTGCCAAATCTGCTGCGGGGCTTGGATTAAAAAGCAAAACCCCTCCGAGCACCGCCGAGCACAAGCCGATTTCTAATTAGAGAGCATCTGGCCAGGAGGGCAGCAAGGCCATGGCAGCGAGCAGCGGTTGTCGGGGGGGCTGCGGCTCGGGGGAGTTGGTTTTGGGGTGTTTTCTTCTCTGCTGGGGTTTCTAAGCAAGAAGAAGCTACGAGCAAAGCCCCTGTGCACACATGCCTTCGCCACCACCGGTCCTGCCAGGGGGACCAGCCTCAGCCCCTGCCTACCCGGATCCTGCCCTGCTTGTGCCTTGTCCAGCTCTGTGCCGGGACGGTGACACCGACACCAATCCCTGGTGCGAGCTCTGCCAGCGTGCAACAAGCCCACATGCTGCTGGTGCAACCGGTGCATCAGATCTCCCCCAGTTCAACGATGCTACAGAGACTCGGGACTCAGACCTCAAGTTCCCACCGAGTTCCCTGATGCCACCACGCTGTGGCCTGGGCAAGGACATCCCTGCCACCATGGCTGGCTGTGACCCTGCCCTGCCACCGCCACACACAGATGGGCAGGCAGGTCCCCCACACACCCGGGACCCCCGATGGAGCCAGCTCTGACGCAGCTCTGTGGGCTGGGGACTCCCCCAGCCCCCAGCATCCTCCAGCCAGCGCTCCGCAGGAGAGAGCACCCAGGGCCATGCGCTAATCCGTGCCACCGTTTGGTGACCTTGTGGCAGGAGACCAGGATGTCCCCATCCCCAAGCACCTGGCAGAGCACTGCTGGCAATGGGCAGTGCCACAGTGCTCCCCATGGGCACATCCATGACCTGGGGCTCGGGGCGTGCAGCCCAAAGCCCTTCTCCAGTGCGAGGATGGGCGATGCCACCCCACAGCGTGGCCAGCACCACGCAGGGCTCTGAGGATGCCGTCGATCCCGGATGCAGCCTGTGCCCCAGAGGCGAAGGGAGCCGGGCAGCCTCCCTGCCTGGCATCCCATCCCTGTCCCCGCCAGCGTCCCGGTACTCACTGGTGTTTGGTGTGAAGGAGGGATGGCGCGTGGCTCCCTGCGTGACGGCCGGCGGTGGCGGAGGCATGCTGGGCGGTGTGGACCTGGACTGCGTCTTCACGTCGGCCGGCGAGTCGGGCATGGTGGCAGCCCGCGTCTCCGCGTTATCTGCAGGGAAAGGGCAGGTGAGCGGGGTGTGCCGGGCAGCTTCTCCTGCTAATGGGCATCAGGTCAGGGGCAGAGAGGAACCCTTGGGGACCTTGGGCTGGGTTGGCATCTCCACTCCCTGGTGCAGGACAGCAGCAACCCTCACCCCAGGCAGAGCTTGGGCAGCGGGGACAGTGCCTGGTGTCCTGTATGCCCGCAGGACGGTGGGGATGGTGCCCGACCTGTGCCTGGTGTGGATGCAGGGTGGTGGGATCAGAGCAGTGCACCGTTTTGCCCCTGCAGTGCCAGCTCTGGCCCACGCACAACCCAACCCAGCATCCAAACGGCGTGTCTGTCCCTGCAAAGCCATCGCTGACACGTCCCGACCCCCTCCTGCCAGCGGTTATCTGCCCACGTCTCGGGAATCCCCGGCTGCCCGCTGACCCCTGGCCGTCCCCGGCAGCTACGAGCAGGGACACTGTAATCCCAGGCAGGGGTTATGCACAGGCAGTAAATTGTGGGCTCATCTGGGCTGTTGCTCAGTGATGGCAGGACCCGTGCACCCACTGGTGGCCGTCTTCCCATGGCTCTGGGGCAGCGCTGCAAGGTGGCAGACACTGCAAACTGGGGGGTGCGGGGCTCCCTGCCCATCCCCAAACTGGGCTCCCCCCCTGCCATCGCTGCCTCCCTCCCATCGCCCTGCCTTTGCAACCCCGAATAACTCCCGGCAGCGGCATCCCCGGGGGCAGCGTGCCAGCACCGTCCCCTCCGGACGGCGGTGGCAGGGCCCCGGTGCAAGGTTTCGGCCCCGTGGCTGCCGCGCCAGGCGGTGACGGGTGGCCACAAGTGTGGGCAGCTGCGGTGGTCCATCAGTGTGCCCGAGCCCGCACCGCCGCCGCCGCCGGCCCCAGCCAAAGAAGGAAGCGGCCACCACGGCCACCCTCCCGGCCCCGGGGTCCCTGCTGTGCCCCAGCACACTCCCCGCCAGGCACGGCTGATAAACACTAATCTAATATGCATGCTTAATCCGCTGCAACTGTTGTGAGATTAATTGAACCCTGCAAGAGCACATTGTCCGGGCTAAATAAAACCGGGGCCTCATCCCCAGCAAGATGCTATCGGCGCTTGTGCCGCAGCCGATGCCGGGCAGGGAGGACCAGGAGATGGGAGAGTCACTCCCAGGTGGTCATCACCGTGGTCCCACAGCATCCTCCTGGATGGCTCCAGCACACTCTGGATGTGCACACTCAGGTTTCCCTTTCCTCATCCCCTTCTCCCACTCCAGCTTCAGGAGAAACACCAAGACCATGCAGCAGCCCTCCCCATAAAATAACAGTTTGCTTACGGGGCCTGACAAAATAAATGGGACATTCTGGGAAAAAACCCTTTTCTTTTCTTTCTCATGGGCATGCCCATCTCTGGGCAAGGCTTCTCCAGCCTTCCAGGCTTTCCCCATCGGTCAGCAGAGCAGGACCCAGCCCTGATGGCAGAGGATGATCAGCGAGCGTGCACAGAGCATGACCCAGACTTGAGCTTGGCATCCCCCGGGCATCACCCGCTGCCCAGCTCAGCAAAGCACGACCTGCATCTGCCTCCTGCCCACAGCACCTCCCCGTGACACAGGGCTCTGCGTGGGCCACCCCCTTGCCCTTCTCACCCCCTCCGAGCCCGAGGGGTTTGCAGTGCAGGGCACTGGCTGGCACTGCACACCCAGCGCAGTGTAACGAGGCGTTGCAACGTGCTCTTCATGTCTGCAACGCTGCAACCGCCCACACGCTCAGCCCCAGGCTCCGGCTCTCTGTGCAGCAGCCGCTGGGCGTGGGGACAAGCTGCAGCAGCTTGGGGAGCATGGCAGCCTGCCCGGGTAAGAGCACCTGCACCAGCTGCCTGCGCGGGTCCCAGCACAGAGGGGCTGCGCCGGCAGGTTTGGCTCTGCCATTGCTTGCAGGGAGAGAGGAGGCTGCGAGATGTTCATCCCTGCCTGCATCCCCATCCCTGCCTGCATCCCCATCCCTGCCTGCATCCCTGCCTCCATCCCCATCCCTGCCTCCATCCTCCATCCCTGCCTCCATCCTCCATCCCTGCCTCCATCCCCCATCCCTGCCTCCATCCCCATCCCTGGCACTGTCCCATCTTGCATCCCCATCCCTGCCTGCATCCCTGGCACACACCATCCCTTTCTGCCTCCCCATCCTTATCCCCCTCGCCACCCTGACTCCACACGCATGGCCATGCTGAGGGAAAAACATGGATACACTCCTCCTGGCACTGACACAGCTTTTCCACAACTTCCCATCAGGAGGAAAGTTTCCATGAAGCTGAGCAAACACCCAGGGAAATGGGGCCTGGCTGTGTTTTTTCTTGTCTTTTCTTTTTTTTTTTTTCCTCTAAGTCATAAATTTTCCCTGAGGTGTTTGCAACCCAAACACCACCACACAGACACAAGGACAAGGGACGGCCCCGAGCCTGATGGGATTTCTCAGTGTCCCAGCCCAGAAATGCCCAAAACAAACAGAGCCCGGGATGCCCGCAGGATCCAGCCACAGCCATGGCACCAACCCAGGCCTTTTGCAGGATGGGACAAGTTCTGTGGTGGGCAAAGGAGGTTTTGAGGAGCACAGTGCAGCCTCCCGGCAGCATCTCCAAAAAATAACTCCGCAACATGACTCGAACTCCACTGGAATTTCTTTTTTTTTTTTTCTTTCTTTTTCTTTTTTCTTTCTTTGGGTTAATTTGTCCCAGCCGCTCGGGGCTGTGTCTGTTTTCCTCCATCTGGTTTCCATTAGGGCTGTGCAGCCCAGATGAATAAGTAATAATATAAAAATAAAAGGATTAGTATTTTCTCCTTGGCTGGCGGGAGCGGGCGTCCCCCACCCTGCCTCCTGGGGCCAGCGGATGCCGGACCCTGCACACCCCTGCGTGACCCCGAGCCCCCCATTTGTCACACCGAAGGGTTCAACCTACAGCACGCTGGCCCAGGCACAGTCCCCGCTGGGGTGACACACCAGTGTGGCCACTACCAGCTGCCCTGGCTTGCCCGTGCCACCTGGCACCGTGGCCACCCCAGCAGCACCACAAGGGTTGGGGTTTGTGACCCTGTTGGGCAGCGGCAACCCCTGAATTGCTCATCCCAGTTTGTGCATCACTCTTCCCAGGTGGAAGATGTGGGAGAAGCCGTTAGCTGGTCTCCTGCCTCCCACCAGAGCTGGGGCAGGGTGTCTGCTGGGCTGGGTGCTCCCCATGGGGCAGTGTGGGGTGCTGGAAAGCACCAACACACGGCATCCTGCGGCTGTGTGTGCTGGTGGGCACCAACGCACAGCATCACACAGCCGTGGACACCAGTGGGCACCAACACATGGCGTCCTGCAGCCACACATGCCAGCAGGCACCTACACGTGGCATTCTGATGGTGCCTGATGGCTGGAGCCAGGGTGCCAGTCCAGCTCAGGATCCCTTGTTTCCCATGGTCCTGTGGAGCCCGTTCTGCCGCTGCAGGCTCTGCCCCACTGCCATCCTCCCCGGGCAGTGAGCAACCCCTGCTCTCTGCAGCCTTGGGAGCACCCAGGCTGGCTTCTGTCCTCTCCACCTCCCCGGGGACAGGGATGGAGAGGGCAGGGAGCTGCCCTGACCGTGGTTGTTGGAAAGCTCTGGCTTCCCACAGCCCTCCCCTCCCAGGCCGGGTAAAGCTTCCCGAGAGAGGAAGGGGTTAAAAGGGAATTAAAAGACCAGCATCCTTCATGCTCTCCAAATGGCCACAAATGAAATCCAGATGCTGGAGGCGACGTCTCCCCGAAGCCAGGCTGCCTCCGAAACAAAGGCGAGCATTCCTGCTCCTCAGCTGCCACTGCCACGGGGGCCAAGAACAACTCCCCGATAAGATGGCGAGGGACCGAGCTGTCCCAGCTGGAACATGTTAGGGAAGTTCTCAGCGCCGACCATGTGCATGAGCCCAGCAGAGCTGGTGGGAGCTGAAGACCACCATCATCTCCCTCCTCCCCTGCGCCCATCCTCATCCCCTCCACAGGGACATGGTGACAATGGGGGTAGGTGATGATGGGGAGACAGTGATGATGGGGGTAGGTGACAGCAGGCAGCTCGGAGGTGGCTCACCCCCAATTGCACGTGGAGGGGAGAGAGCAGGACGGAGGCTGTGGGATGCTGGAGGGATGCTGCCCGCTCCCAGCAGTTATCCCATTGCCAACGTCTCCTGGGTGGACATTTTGGGGGAGGGGGGGGCAGGCTAGCAGGGGCCAATCCAAAAATAGCGAAAAATAAGCCTTTGAAATGGAAAGGCAATTAATTAAACCCTCTGTACAAGATGTAAATGAACTGGGCTTCGGCCAGCTCCGTGCCTGGGGAGGTTCTCGCTGCAGGTAATGGCCACCACGAGGACAACAGGACACAGATGTGCCTGGTGGTGCCAAGGAAGCGCTGGCAGCAGGTCCCAGCCCTGCCAGACACTTGGGCCCTGCCTGTCCTCCTGCCTGCAGACAGAGATCCTCAAAAGGATGCTCATGCCCCCAGTGGCACAAGTCTCGCTCCGCCCTGCTCCTGCAGCTGGGAGGGTTGCTGGCAGCCTGGCCCAGCATGGGTGACCATGCCATGCCAACCAGCCCACGAATTTGGGCATTTCCCCTGCGGTTTGGCTTGGCTGCTCAGCTGAGTGGGACCTGCCATCCTTGCACCACCACGGCAGCCCTTTCCACCCGTTGGCACGCCAGCCTCCATCCTTGTCATCCTCAACTTTCCTGTGGGTGTCAGGTCCCACACTACTGGCCCGGACTGGGACATTCCCCATCCACCTACTGGGAGTAAAGCAGGTTTCACCATGCCCATGTACATCCCAATTTGCTTTACCTTCCCCACAGACCCGTTGGGTGAGCAGCCCCGGCCATGCTGCCTGCACCAGTGGTGCCAGCATCCCAAGGATGCCCAGCACTGCTGGGAGATACACCATGGAAAACGCTCCCAGAATTGGATCCAGGGCAGCAGCTGCCAGCAGGGACCCCCCTGCCTGGTCCCCTGCCACCTCCCCCATGCAGTGACAGCAGGGCTCCATGTGGGACATCAGCACCCGGGGCCAAGCTCCCCTCACATGCCCAGAGACCAATAAACCCAATTTCTCAAGCCACAAGGAGCCACCCAGGGACCCCCAAACCCGCTACCTCGGCTCCTCACAGGCAGTGCCAGCTGGCTCCGGCTCCCCCTGAGTCGGCGTGGCCGGGGAGGAGGGAGATGGGTTTGATTTTCCTCAAACAACAACCAAAAAAAAAAAGCCAAAAAAAAAAAAAAGAAGGCGCCCTCTCTGTTTTACAAGCCTTCATTTGCTATTGTTTATGTAAACAGGTAAATTGTTTCGTATCTCAATTAAAAACATCTGCCACATAAATGAATACCAATTAACTCATCCTGTTTTTAATTACTCTGTTAATTACACACAGGCAGCAAAAAGGATGGCAGGGGAATAGGGAAAGCATGCTTACAACCCCCCCCACCCCCCCCTCCTTCCCACCTTGCTCTTGGCAAGGATCCGAAGTGTGCCCAGATAATGATGGATTAAGGTGGCTGGTGAAAACCGTGGCTCGTGGCCAGCTCCGGCGTGGCGGCTCCCTCCCGGCCCCGGCCGGGTGCTGCCGGGGTGCCTCAGGGGGGGTATTTCCCACCACCCTCCCGAGAGACACCGCGCCGCCCTGTTTTGGAAACCCCGGTCCCCGTGGGACGCGCCAACGCCGCCTGCGTCATCCCCTGTGCCCGTGGTGGCCACGGCACAGCCTGGCTGGCTTTCCCAGTGCCAGCCCTCCCAAAATGTGTCCCAGGGGAGAGAACCCCTCGGGATGCCGAAGCAGGCGGGAAGGGCGGGAGGATGGAGTGGGGCAGCATCCTCATGGACCAAGCGCATCCCCCAGGCCCGTGGGAGACCTCCTGCCACCGAGGGGCTACACCTCTGCGTGGGCACAGCGGCACGGGGTGGGTGCCATCCTCAAGTTGGCCCAGTGGCAATTGTTGAGGGACCCCAGGCGCCGTTCAGCCGCCTGAGGCTTGCAGCCCCTCGTCCCCCCCCAACTCTGGCTGTGGGAAGCTTTCCAAGCGAGCAGATGGGGCAGGGGAGCAGCAGCAGCAAGGAGGAGAGCAGAAAAGGCTATTTTCTCACGCTACATATTTTACAAGTCGAACATTTTGTGCATTTCAGCCTTGTCTGTAAAAGCAGCTCTGGGCTTTGCCTTGGGACCCAACGCCGGAGCCTCTGAGTCAACAGCCAGCGCACAGAGGGGCTGGGCAGTGGGGTCTCCCCCTATAGAGGGTCAATCTGGGGTGTCCCCCTGCCCCATTGGTGCTGTAGGAGGGGCAGGATGGCCAATGACCCCTTCCAGGCCCCTCAGGTGGGGCACAGCATCTGTGCCATCCAACCCATCCTGCCAGCAGCTCCGGGAGGAAGGCACACACACCCCCCCTCACTGCTCCCCAGCTGCCTTATGCTCCTGGAAATTAAATATACTGGCTAAACACGGCGAGTAAACAGAGTGCCGTGGCCAGCCCAGGACACCTGGAGGCACACGGTGGCATGGGGCTGGGGCTAACCCCACCAGCAGCACCCAGAGATGCCTCCCCTGCCCAGGAAATACCCACATCTCGACTGCAAACCAGCTCCCCGATGCGAGGGCTGCGGGTGCATCACCACAGCGGCCACGCTGGAAGGGCAACCGAGCCACCGCACCCCAAAAACCAGCCAGATGCCCCAGCTGAAGAGCCAGATGCTCTTCCAGGGCAGGGCGAGGTTCGGGCTAAAATACCCCAATTTGCAATTTTTGCAGCCACCCAGTCACATGCAGAGGGATGCCCGTGCCCAGCGGTGGCCTTGACGGCTGGAGCGGAAACAAGTGGTACAAGCAGCCGGGGGGACCCGGGGCATTTTGGAGGCAGAGAGTGGCCGGGGAAGGGAAAACATCCCCTTCCACACGCCAGCACCAGTGGGGAGCTCCAATCGAGGTCCCTGCAGCGTGGGAACGCCGAGGCGCCGCTGGCTCCCCGGGGACCCCGGGCTGGATCATGCCCTGCCGACGCCGGGACGGTAACGGCTCCAAGGGGGTGCCGAATCCAGCCGTGCATCCCCGCTGCATTACCCACTCTTTGTCTAATTTTTTTTTTTTTTTTTTTAACCGCAGGCTCCATTTCAAGGCGGTTTTTGCCCGTGTGAGATTGAATCAAACAACACAGGAAAAAAATATTAATGAGAATTTTTCAAAATAAACAGGAAATCCCTTGGATGCTTTCTGGAAACAGTGGTCAGCATCTTCCGAAGGAAAGCTGCTTGTCAAGGTGGGGTTGCCCCTGGGGAGCCTGAGCACGCTGGGAGGGACGGCCGAAAACAAGCTTCAGGAAATCTAAAAATAAACCCCGAACCGGACAATGGCACTAACACCAGCGGCACCCAGGCAGGGTGTTTCTCCTCTGTACCACCAGCCTGGTCTTGCTCCATCATGAAGCTCACAAGGATGGCTCCCAGCTTGGGGACCCTGCTCTGTCCCCAGCCCGGTGGGGCAGCTACATCCAGCTCCCACCTGTGGTCCAGCTTGGAAAGCACAGGCCAGGGCTGCAGCATCCGACCCGCATCCCCCCCAGCCCAGCAGCAGCGTTTAAGCCCAGCTTTGCACCGAGCTCAGCAGTGCAACCCTTGGGTGCTCCCGCTCCCTCCCAGGTCCCAGACAGCCCCGTTTGCAGGATCAGGCCCCAATCTGCCCAAAACCTTGTGCACGCTGTGACTGTGCTGGTCTGACCGGGGGCAGAGGCAGTGTGGGGGCTGGTGTGTCTCCCCAGGGTGGGGGGGTCAGCTCCCTGCCCCACTGCCAGCACTCACAGGCAGCCCTGCACTCCTTGGTTGGCTCACCGGCAACCCACTGACCTCCATTAAGAGACGTAATAACAGACATTTATGGGGTGCCTCTCCTCCCCGAGCATCCCGCGGCACCCCACACCCCTTCCCCGGGAGCTGAGCTGCCCCTAGACTGCACCGGGGATTTAAGCTGGGTGGTGAGCGGCGCCAGGACCCCATTTCCATGGCAAAGCCAGACACCCGGCAGCCCGGATCCTGCCTGGGGTTTTCCACGCCTGAAAACAACAGTGGCTCAAAAGCAGAAATCAGAGGAAGGGACACAGGGGATGTTGGCAGAGACCCATCAGCCCCTAATCCCCCACAGGACCTGCCAGAGCCCCCTCTCCGGCACGCTGGCTGTGGGCAGCCCACCCCAGCCATGCCCGTGGGGCTGCCCCCAAGCCTGGCAGTGCCACAGCCATGGGAGGAGGCTGGGGGGCTGCTCGACCCTCCCAGCCCAAAGCACCTCTGAGCATTTTTCCACCCTGCACCCTGAAAGTCCCCAGTTTAAGGGGCAAATCCTGCACCCACACGAGGCCTCGCTGCTTCCCTGCCCGGACCCAGCACCCACCCCGTGCCAGCACCCAGCGCCACGGGAAAACAGCCTCTCCCCTCCCAGGCTTCTTGGCTTTTCCTCCCTGCAAGCCGACATCTGCAGCCACACGTTTTTCAAACAAAACACGCCCGACATCTGTCCGTCCCCTGGGTAAAACCTTACCTGCCAGCGCGGACACCGGCCGGGCCTGCCGGGAGGCAGCCGGCAGGGAAAAATCCCTTTCCACAGCCAACTTCATCTCCGCTTTCCTCCCCAACCACAGCACAAGCAACACTCAAAACTTCTCCCCGCGTGGAAACGCTCTGCGCGGGGGGGACCTGCCTTATCCTCCTCCAGGGACCCAAACGCCCGCCCCGGGGTGGCAGCTCGGCCCCACGAGGCTCCGAGGACCGTGGGCGCCGGGGCTGTCAGCATCCTCCCCGGCCGCTGCTCCACCTTTGCCGTGGGGTTTTGGGAGGGATCCCCCACATCTCCGTGCCCCGTACCATAGCACAGCTCACCCCACCGCGCTGCCCAGCGGACGGACGGTTGGCGGGGCGTCTTCGAGTCGCTTGACAAAGGAGCGGAGAATTAATATTCCTTTTAATTAAAGGCAGAAAAAAATCTCTTTGTTCCTGAACAGAGAGAAAACAACAGAGGGAAGAGCTCCAAAGCTCTTTCTAAGCTCGAGACCAGACCATCGCTTAGATTCAAAGACACTGTCAACGTGCACGTGACCTCAAATTAAAAAAAAACCAAAATGAAAGCCAGCAGCGGCGGCAGCAGCTCCTCTCCGAAAGCGAAGGAAAGTTGCAAAGTTTTTCTTGGCTAATAGTGGGAAAAAAGAAAAAAAAAAAAAAAAAAAAAAAAAAAACCAAAAAAAAAGTCAGTTTACACCAAAAAAAAAAAAAAAAAAAAAAAAAAAAGAAAAAATCCAACAAAAGGTGCGTTTAAACCAGAGAAACGCTCTGCAGGATCCGAAGGCACCATCCAGTGGTGAGGGGGAGTGACGGGGAGAGCCAGCCGGGCCCCGGCCCACGTCACGGAGGAGCCAGCGAGGAGGAGCGCGGTGCTGAGCCCGCTCCATCCCTCCGCCGACAGCATCCCCTCCGCAGAGCCAGGCCACCGCCGGCGGAGCTGGACGGTGATTAATGGCTGCGAGGTTCAGGAGCAGGGCAGCGCCGAGGCAGAGAGCTGGAGGCTCCCCCGAGCCAGCCTTCCTTCTCAAATCCGTGTCCGACACCACCGTCCCCGGCACACGGGAGGACACGGCGTGTGTCCCCGGCGTGGACCCACGTCCTCGCGTGTAAACACAGAAATTATGCTGGTGGAGCTGGAACTTCCCAAAGTGGCCCTGGGTTTGCTGGAACGTCCCAAACCAGCCCTGGGTTTGCTCCCACAAACTCTCCCGAGTGGATCGGTTCCTCCTCGTCAACAAAAAGCGGCTCCATCTCTAAAATCGGCGGGACGTGGAGCCAGCTCTCCGAAGAGGAGGGATGCGGGAATGGAAACGACTTCTCCCGCCGGGCAGAAGTCGGGAGGCACGACCCGGGAGGGTTTGCTGCGGTGTGAGGGGACACACACACACACAATCTCGCGTGGGTTCCCGGGGATGCTGGCCAGCCCCACGCTGCCCCGGCTCTGGGAAAGCGGCTGCCGGGTACGGGGAGGGGGGGCGCGGGCAAAGCCCCGGCCCCACCGCGGCAGGGGAGAGGGGTCCGCATCCCGCCGCCCCTGCGTGAGCGCCGTGCGTGGGAGCGGGGCCCACGGTGGCCGCAGACCGCTCCTGCCCTGCACCGGACGGCGGCTCCGGTGCCCACTCGCCCCCGCTCGCCCTGCCCCGCTCCGCCGCCGCGGCGTGTCCCGGGGGCGGCCGAGAACAGGGGATGGAAAGACCGCGGCGGAGGGGACCGCGCCGGCTTCGGGCACCGGGAGCATCTCCGTCCCCTGCGCACCGGCAGCTTTCCCGACACCGGGAGCCTCCCCCGGGTACCGGCAGTCTCCCCGACTCCTGAGCACCGGGAGCCTCCCCCGGGTACCGGCAGCCTCCCCGACTCCTGAGCACCGGGAGCATTCCCCGGCCACCGGCAGCCTCCGACTTCCCTGCGAACCGGGAGCCTCCTCCCAGCACCGGGAGCCTCCGACTCCCCTGC